GAGTCTCTCTCCCACCACAAATCTAACACCAAACTAGTCCAATTAGAGATAATAATTATAATAAATACGCCATACGGGAAAATGGTTGTTCGACTTTAGATCGCGGCCCTTTAGGCCAAAAATATGTATACGAGACTTGGGTAAATCCACTAAGATCTTTTGAATATACATGAAAAATTTAACTTTTGATTACACATAATTAGATATATTATCGATAGGATTTAACTTCGTTTTAGCTTTACTAAAAAATCTATATCCACAGTTATGACTGACTGCATAAAACAATACAACTTTAGCTCAAGTCAGCGCTGGCGTCAATCGACTCCATCCTCGGCTCCACTCGTCTTCAACCCTGCTATATCAGTGCGAAGTTGTTCTGATATTCAGTATCCAATCTTCTGATCTCGGCCCGCATGTCAGTACGTCATATTATCCGCCGACCTAGCCTTGAGATATTTGGACCCAGATAATATGATGTACATACTATATCTTACGTACTATATTTGTAACCGGTTTCTCTTCTCTTTGTCGCTGAAAAATCTGCGTATCAAAGGTTTCATCATGAATTTGCCCTATTTTTCACAATCGCCATATTCAGCTCTTAAAAATTGCTTACAAAATAATTCTTTGATTTTTTGTTCCGGAAAACTATTCTTAACAGTTGGTATTGGATATAGGAGGTTAAATTTGCTGCAAAGTCCTGTTATCTCGATACAAATTTCAATAAATCCGAAAAGCTTTTGTGCGAATTAATACCAATTTCACCGATTCTTTAACATCTCACTTGTCAAGTTTAGCAGTCCGTCAAACAATCTTATCTTATCAGGATATCACTGCAGATCGCCAGAACTTGTACTTTCTGCCCTGAATTTTCGGAGTTGTTGATATTCACTGACGAGGATCGACCGAAATTAGAAAATTTAGCTTAATTTTTTATTGAAATTAATTTTCTATAATTTTTTGGATGCTAATATGACACCAGGATTTGAACCCGAGACTTCCAAAAATATAATGTTAAAATTTACTATTGTGACCTTCGAACCAACGATTAATACTTATATAAATATAGATATTTACGTATGTATGTACATGTATGGTAAAGGTCGCAAAAACAGCTGGAACGTTGAGGACTGCCGTGTCGCAGTGGAAAGAAAACAGACTGCCTATCTCGCAACCTTGCGATCGACCACAACACGGGTGGTATGGGAGAGAAGCAAGACGCATCTGCAGACAAAAAGAGAAATAAGTCGAGATGCGTGAGTGTGAAGAGCTTGAGAAGCTGGCCGACAAGGGTAACGCTCGAAAATTCTACGAGAAGATACGACGACTTACGGAAGGTTTCAAGACCGGTGCATGCATCAGCTACTTTGCAGAATATGGTCGGACGAAAGCATGCTCGACGATTGGAATTTAAGTCTGCTCTGCCCAAACCATAAAAAAGGGGACCCCACAGTCTGTGCCAATTACCGTGGAATAAACCTTCTTAGTATCGCCTATAAGGTCCTGTCGAGCGTATTGTGTGAAAGACTGAAGCCCACCGTCAAAAAACTGATTGGATCTTATCAGTGTGGCTTCAGACCAGGTAAGTCAACAATTAACCAGATATTCACCATGCGCCAAATCTTGGATTTCGATTTTAAAGCGGCCTTCGACAGCACGAATAGGAGCTATCTCTATGCTGTGTGATTCTACAATTTGATTCTGGAGAAAATAATAAGAGCTGCAGAGCTGAATAGAGAAGGTACAATCTTCTATAAGAGTGTTCAACTACAGGCGTACGCCGATGACATTGACTGCATTGGCTTCAACAAATCCGTTGAGGGCAAGACGAAATATCTTCTGTCATCAAACAAACAGTCATCGCATTCCCGACTTGGACCCCACGTCAGTTGACAGTCATAATTTTGAAGCCGTACTGAGTAGGTAATTGACGACGAAAATCAAACTCTACAAGTTCCTCATCATTCTCGTCCTGTTATGTGGTGTGAAAGCATGGACGATGACAACATCTGATGAGTCGGCGTTAGGAGTTTTCGAGAGAAATGTTTTGCGTAAGATTTATGGTCCTTTGCTCATTGGCAACGGCCAATATCGCAGACAATGGAACGAGGAGCTTAACGAGTTCTACGGCGACATTGATATAGTTCAGCGAATCAAGAAGCAAGAAGGTTTTGCGGTCCGGATGGATGCGAATCCTCCAGCTTAGAAAGTTTTCGATACAGTAGCCGCCGAAGACAGCAGAGGAAGAGGAAGACCTCCACTCCGTTGAAAAGACCAGGTAGAGAAGGACCTGTTTGCACTAGGTATTTCCAATTGGCGCCCCACAGCAAAAAGAAGAAACGAATGGCGCAATGTTGTTAACTCGGCTATAACCGCGTAATCGTTGCCAGCGCTAGTAAAGTAAGTAAATAAGTGAAATAGAGGATATTCCATGGCTAGGAATAAATAAATGGTAGACTAAATTAAAATCACAAGAAAGATCAACACCTTTGCAGTCTGCAGCCAAGGAAAATATTGACTTAAACATGAAAGCATATCGGGAAAGCACCAGGAATTAAAATTAACATACAAACTTTTCACTTTAAGTACAAACAAACAAGTTTCAAACGTTGTTGTGCATTGCAAATATCACCCAACATAAATGGAAATTCTACACATTGACAATAATTCAAAAACAAGCAAATGCGTTAACATCAATGGAAAAGTATCATTTACTGATTCCTTCAATTATAAATACCAAGTACAGCCAGATCCTCATCCACCTCCATTCTAAAAGAATGAACCTCTTCCTTTTCCGAGTACTGAATGGAGACCTTTCAAATCTGAAATATTCTTACCTGGCCATAGTAGAAGCTGTATCTTGATTCTCTGAACTATATACGTCAATGTCGAGGTATAGCTTAGATAGCTTACCATCCAACCGGCTGTGGTATTCGACGTTCCCTTTGTTCGTGGTGAGGGCGTTACTTTTCAATTGCCTACTCAGTCCGACCTGTTGTGAAGATTGACTGTACGTTGGATTTCGATTTGTTGGACTTCGGATTTTCTCTGAGTATGGGTTTTCGGCTACCGGTCATGGGTCACTGCATGAGAGGTACTTGAGCGGGATGGCGAGTTGTGAGTGTGGTATAGAGCGAGAGAATTGGATGCATGTGTTGTGTGAGAGGGACTTAGGGGGTATGGGAATAGTTAGGACGGATGGACGGTATAGGGGTGTGATGTTCTCTCATGTGGAGAGTTCGTGTGTTTGAAGAAGACATCTGAGGTTTAATTGATCATTAGGTTAGGAGTATGAATGGGCAGGCTTGAGTCGGTACGCGAAAACCCAAATGCGGGACCTTGCGTCAGCTCAATGTGGAGTTGCATTGCAACCGGATGCCGAATCCATAGTACGACAGAGGTTTTAGATAGGCCTGGGACCCTACCAAGGTGGTTAGTGTGTCCACTCCACACTGCCAATTGGTACCATAATGCTTGCATTATACGCATTGATTTGATCCGTTGAGTTTTTGAGCACCGTGAGGTTAGGCCGACGTCGGCAGTTACTCACGTAAATCATATCGGACGATGTACGTTGGATTGATTTCAAGGCAGATATTGTTGTTTGAGTTGATGCTACTTGACCGTCATTTCGCTGGTCTTTTCGAAGATTCTTCGCTGTTGAATCTGGCAGTGTAGATTTTCCGTGTCAGACGCTACACTGATAAAGTCCAATCAGTTTGTTAACAGTGGGCTTTAGTCCTTCACACAATACGCTCGATGAGACTTTATTTGCGTTATTGAGAAGCTTATTTACCCATTGTAAATGGTGCATTTTGTGGGGTCCCCCACAGGGTTAGAGCTTACTTAGGTCCTTTTCGTCGAGCATGCTTTCGTCTTATTTACCAGTTATTCTGTGCTGATGTAAATATAATAGCTCAACCGGCAATATATCGGCCACTGCCGCTTTGATATTTTTGAAGAACAGTATACTTTGGGCATCAGTCGCTATATCACTTCTATGGGCCAATAAGAGATTCTTCTGATCTTGAATCCGGCTGCAAGTCGCCGTAACTTTCCGTAGAATTTTCTAGCATCACCCTTATCGGTCAGCTTCTCAACATCTTCATGCTCACGCATCTCGGTTAGCAAACCACGGCTTCCAGATAAACCAGACATTTGAATTCGATTTTTTTGTAAGTTCATTAGATGACAAAGTATTAAATGAAAGTACTGTTTTGCGTGGAGCTGATCATGAAATTCACGAGCGTGCTTGTGCAGCTTTTGTATATGCATTTCCGTTTTTGCATAGAGCATGCATACATACATGTACATATGTATATATATGTACATAATTTTGAATAGTCATGACCAGTGCAATAACTAACTTTTTATTGAAAATCGCAAACGTTCGCATGCCATCCGTATCGATCCGTCTTTGTTGTGTCGGCGTCTATTGGTATGGCTTCATTTGTGGCGCAACTGATACAACCTGGCAAAATACATACAGATGCACTTACGTACGTACAACAAGCGTATGAATACACCTTATGTGAATGGTAAGAGCAACAAACAAATAATTGAAGCGAACTCAAAGTAATATGAATGAACAATACAATTTACTAATAATAAGTAAGGGCATATGTACATATATGTATGTATGTATACACTAGCATATACCTACGTGTATGTATGTATATACGAGAATCTGATTTTATACCTTAGCGTATTTTACTTTTAAATGTTAAATATACTGAAAACGCAGACTATACACGTATGTGTGTAAAAAAAAGTTCTTTACTTACGTATGTACGTATGTACGTATGTATGTATGTCTGCGAAAAAACAAAGCTCCAGATATTTAGTAACGAATTCTTCCAGTCTTCAGTCTAGTTGTATAAACACAATTAACTAACAGTTAAGCCCTGCCGTGGAATCAATAATCGATATGCGCCCACAATTACCTTCTATATTCGACGCGTGCGAGGCGTAGAAATAAGAAAGTCAAGACAAATGAAACAAGTCAGCCAGTTCAGATGGTTTACAAATCAGTTTGGGCGCGATTTTCATTTCGACAGTTCGATCTCGTTCGCGAGCTCTTCAAAATTTTATTTTAATTTACATATGTATTCACATACACGTATGTAACTTAAATAAATACGTACACACATATGGAATAGAGTAAATAAGAAAGTTTTAATTTTTTAATGAAAAACTTGTGGTGAACAGTAACAAGGGATTAAAAAGTTCAGCTGTTATTCAATAATCTTCAGAATGGTGCAAATAAATGCTGGCAGTGGTGGTAAGTCGCACTTTATTCTCAAATCGATATCTACTGCTTATACCCTTGAAAATAATACGCTAACGGTTGGGAATCGCATTTGCTTGGTTAAGCTGGAAAATGTTTGACTAAAAAGTTTGAAGAATCTAATTATGAAATGGAAATAAAACGATTGTACATTGGCTTCCTTCATCAATGTCCTCAATAGAAATGCCGTGGAGATCTAATTCATGCGGTCTTCAGTGTTTGATAAATAAGCCTTTTTTTTGGTTGAACCATCAGCAAATCCATCTATGCACTGCAAAAGCTTTCTTATAATTTCTTCTAAAATTAGATTTTATAATTAGTTCCATAGGACAAGTAATTGGTAAAAAATTACGAAAAGCTCAAATTGAGCTTTAGCGAAAGAAAAACTATTGAATTTGTTGGCTGCTTAAGTTGCAGCTGATCTTAAACAATGTATTATATTATGAATTTTAATTGATCAATGCTTTCACCTCGTAAGGAAGAATATTTGTTCCAAATACCACAATTCAATGGTTTTTCAACATACGAACATATAACCTTTAGCTGACCGTTCCTTTCTTCTTTTCGCCAATTGGAGACACCAAGTGAAGCCAGGTCCTTCTTCTACCTGATATTTCCAACGGAGTTGAGGTCGTAAAATCTCTCCCGAGAAATCCTAATGTCGACACATCAAATGTTTTCATTATAAATGCCGCAGGATCAAAATAAAGCGAGACTTCTAAAATTTAGTCTTTGCAGGGACTTTACTTTTTAATTACGTATTACTTACTTCAGCACTTCTCACAAGAGGTGGTGTGTGTCAATTGTCTTTTCAAGTTCTTTACTAAGATTTGACGCATGATGAATATCTGGGCAATGGTAGATTTGCCAGGTCAGAAGTAACACCGACAAGGTCCGATCAGTTGACTTTGGGATTAAGTCTTTCACGGAGTGCACTCGATTGAGTTGTCTTATTCCGCGGTAGCTTTCCAGCAGGAAATTGGTATTGGAAACCTTGAATAGTCGGACATCCTCCATTGGGGAATAAGATTCGCATTTTCCTGGTGTTTACTCTTTACTGCCAATAAGATGGAGAAGTGCTCTCTGCATAAATCAGTCGCCAGATCACTTCTTTGTGTTCTACAAGAGTATGTTTCGGTCTTAAAAAACTTACACGTTTCGGACTCTTTCTTTATTTGTCTGCATATGTATTTTGGCTCCTTTAAGTCGATCAGCCACAACCCATTTGTGGATGTTTTGCCATGGATCCTGAAATTTCCGAAAGTTTTGCTGAAGATGTTTTCTTTGCTCACCAGGCGCTCATAAAGAGCACCTTTAAGACATTTTCAAGCACTTCGCTTTGTTGCGGATCGTAGCGTGACGTTCTTTCACTGGGATGGACTCGGGGATTGAGTCTTTTTCCCACGACGAACCCCGCACCAAATCTACTTCTGTGGTAGTATAAGTCACAAGGACCTACTCGTCTCCGTTCATCATATCACAACATCTTGGAAGGTGGTTTTTAGCCTTACATCAACCAGCTGGGCAACGCCATGTTTCCAATTAAGAGATTGGACATCCAGGTACATGCTTTGAGATCTGAGTCCCTACTAAGTTTGCTGTGAAGCTTCGCTCACTTTTTCACTTGAACTTATATTCAACAATGTTATATCATAAGCTCAAAAGCATTGCTCTTTAACATTCCTGCCTTCAAGGCGCTGATGAGCATGATTTAGAGACGTTGTTGGATACATTCAGAGCAGTTTTCGTCTTGTGCATTTAAGGGCTCGTGTTATATTTAATTTATAAAAAAAAGTCTAAAAAAAATAACCACAATACAAAAACTTCTTAAAGTAAAATCCATTAAAATTTTTGGTGGCTCGATCATATCTTTGAGTTTTCCGGAGTAAAATATTTGTTGGGCTAAGGTATTCAAATTGAAAGATACCGCTGGTCAACACAGTCTTGTTTTCTTAAATTTTTCCGTTGCGAACTTCAGCAGTTTAAATTGCATTTGATACCATCACCGCCACTGAGAACTGATAACGCTGTTCCATTGTCCGAAGATTCCGGGATACCTTTCAAGTTGCGCCCCAGCTTTTGCAGGTTCGATAACGGTTATCAGTACTTATTTTGCTTAAGATATTACTCATGATCAAAACAAATCAGTTGCAAACATTGGATTCGTCTTCTGTCAATGGTTTGACATAATTAATTCATATGTTGACCCTCAGAAATATCCGCTTCTAATTTCGCTGTACTTATTGTAGAGGGCTATTCATTTTGCAGTTTTGAAAATATCTCAGCCAATACTTGTAGAAAAGGGGGTATCTCACAATCAGTTTGTTTTCGTTTAAAAATACATATGTATATAATCAAACGAAGAACGGTGAATAGGTGAAAAGTTCAATCATGGATAGGCAGCGTGGACAAAGTTCATTTAAAGTAAGGAATTATTAGTCATTTGGAAATAGGAAAAACCATTCGGGAAATCACAGAAATTGTGAGCAAATCCGCTCGACTCTGCATGACATGATTAAATGGTTCAAACAAACAAAATCCGTGGAAAACAAAATGAAGACTGGACAACCGAACCTCAACAGAAGTTTTCAATATAAATTGTAATCCGGAGAGTATCCGTATCTTACGAATAAATAATTATAATGGAAGAGTAGCACAAAAGAAACCATTTATAAACGAGGTTAACCGAAGCAAAATGATAAAATTTGCAAAATGTCATGGAGATAAGGATTTTCAATTCTGGAAACAAGTTTTAATTGCAGATGAAATCAAATTTAATATATTTAGGTCAGATGGACAGTCTTATGTTTTTAGAAAACCGAATGAAGAGTTGCTAGAAAAGAATTTACGTCCGACTGTTAAACACGGGGGCGACTCAGTGATGGTATGGGGTTGTATGTCCGCAGCTGGTACTGGAAATTTATGTTTCATAAATGGTAATATGGACCACAAGCAATATCTGACCATTTTAAAAGAAAATTTATTGCAAAGTGCGGAAAAGTTGGGAATTAAAGACAATTTCCAGTACCACCAAGACAACGATCCCAAGCATAAAGCACTTGATGTCCATCTATGGTTGATGTACAACTGTCCTAAAGTGCTTGAAACACCTCCTCAATCTGCCGACATTAACGTAATTAAACATCTGTGGGCCCATTTGGAAAATAAACTGAAAATGCATGTTAAGCCGCTATTTTGGAAGAGTGAGGGAAAATAAATTCTTTAACATTCAAGAAGCTAGTTGAATCTTTGCCAAGAAGACTGAATGGGGTGAGTGGGGTCTACCATTTGTTTTAAAAAATTTATGCTACACACATATGTACGTGTGCATGTAGGTGAACTCCATTTAATACTGATGTAGTTCCTGATCTCAAAGTCAACCTTGCCCGATCAAAGTCGCATTGAGAGGCTCATGCCAATAGCCCTCGTATCGTGAATAAGTCCACATAACTACGAGTGCGTCTGTAAAAACTTTTCGTCAGTTAGGCCGAAATCGTCGTGTTTTAATTCGTTCCAGCTACAGTATATTAAACGGATGTTAGCGTAGAGGAAAAATCCTGAAAGTGCAAAAGAAATTTGTTCTTAGGTTTGACCGTCTAAAATTTGGGAAGTTTCTTTTTATTTTAATTGCATTCGATTACAGTGCACCGTCGCTACTTTCATTTTAATTTACTCAATTTGTAAAGAAAATACATCAACCCATAAAAAGATACTCTTGTGATCGAGGGTTTTTGGCAATAGTGAATATCTGATACAATATATTGCAATGAAACAGAACTGAAGAGAATTTGTTACTCATGTCGACAGCTTAATTAAAATTATCTACTTTATAAAATTGTAAAATAATCTCATTGATAACTATGTATTTCTTTTGCAGATCACATTCACACAGTTACACTTGATAAAACAGGAAAAAAATCATTCGGAATTTGCATAGTTAGAGGAGAGGTAGATTGAATACAATTGAATATAAAATTATAAACTCCAGTTATTTGATTTTTCATCATTAGGTAAAAGACTCCCCGAACTCGAAAACATCAGGAATTTTCATAAAAGGCATAGTTCCTGATAGCCCAGCCCATTTGTGCGGAAAGTTAAAGGTAATAATCAGTAACGATGCTACGATGCCTCACGATGAGATTTCTTGTGTTGCAAAGTAATAAGAAATCATGGGAATCATGAAAGTTTGTTTTACATTCCCCATGGTCGTTATTTTAATTTTGTCAGCAATTTGTATCATTACCAAAAATAAGTAAAAATGTTTGTACTTCGACACATGTTTAGTCATATATGGAGCGTTGTAGTATTAAAACCAAAAGCCATCTGAAGGATCTTCAAACTGCTGAATCTTTCCCAATATCCCACGTTGACAATAATGAGATAGATTATATTATATGTTGGTATCAAGAATTCATTCTTATTTATGCTAATTTGCTATCGATTCCATCGATTGATCATTAGACTTTTATGACGTATTACCTTCTCTAATAGCAATCTTCACTATTCAATGTTATTGATCCACCAGTCAAGGTCTGCGTGAAGGTGAGGTTTTATTTGAATTTTTTACAATAGGCATTGATTTCAAGTTTTTAGCTGCTGTGGGTATTTTCAATTGAAATATCATCCTGGATATCTGCCACAATCCCTACAGACTTGCAAATGTCCTTTGTCAATTTACCCTGAAACCTAACTACTATAATGGCACTCTAGTTTCCTCGATATTGTTTCTGCAAATTAAATCTGAAATTTCCCAGCAATGACATATCATCGAGGCACACTACCGATTGACATCCTTTCAACCATAATTTTGAGACTACTATTTTCATAACCCTGGTAAATATACACATTAGCAGCTAACAGTTGTACAAAAGGCATGCAATTGAATTCATATAACATAATTTTTCATTTGGAAAATTCGGGGATAAAAAATTGACCCTAATTTGGGTTACATACATTAAACGCCCTCCTCTCTTAAAAAATGTTCTATTTCTGTTTCACACTCCTTTACCTCCTTACTAATGTAGTCGGGAAATTTGCCTACTTGGCTTTGATATACTTTTGATCAATGGGACTTTATATCCAAATATAGATATCCTTATCATCTAAGGTGAGTTGTAGGTACTGGCCTATAAAAAATTTTAAGGATCCGCATGTATTTTCTAACGACGATCTTTACAACGACTGCTGATGATCTTGTGATAATCTGGTTTATTCCAAATGTTTTTGTGTCTACTAACTCATTTTGTGGTGATATTTTTCACCATGTTTCAATTTTGCTTTTGGATACAGTGCGGAGTCACAGTTCTTTTGATACATGATTAGGGTTTAAGTATATATGTTCCTGGTTTTAACAGCGTTGAGGCTGTCTTAATTTTCTCAGCGAATTATTCACCAAGCAGAAACGTATCGACTGGTCCTGGGCTTGTGGGTTTTGGAAAGCTAATATTCCTGGATCTCCAAGATCTGCATTGATGGTCTGGTTTGCTACACTAAACTGATTTTGAATTGTTAGTGTGAAGTTTGAGAGCACTCGCACCAAGAGTTAATTTTAGTTCCAGAATTTAAAGAGACATGGTAAACCTGGTTAGTTTTCAGGTATTGAATATTATTATCTCTGGCGATTCCGGTGAGCCATCCGATTATTTTGCCGGTTCGCCGCGTTCATTTATACCACTTCCTGATGATAAAAAGTTAGTTATTCATAATGTCAGGTGAGTTCGCGCCAAAAATACAAACTTTTCTTTTCAAAAGTACCCGCCTGAGCAAACCTCTTTTGATTTACAACAAATCTTTGATCTAATGATTTACTTTAATTACCTTCTTTCATTTCTCTTCCAAACTGTACAATTCTCAATACACTCTTAAAAATGAAAAACTGCTCAAAGGTGGGAGATCGAATATTATCGTTGAACAATAACGATGTGCGAAATGCTACAGAACAAGCAGTCATCGAACTGATTAAAGATGCTGGCATCAAAATAAATCTTGAAATTCAAACATTTGGAAAGGTATATTTTTTTTTGCTTTTCCCTTGTACTTATTCATTAGTTTGCCTTATTTGTTAACATATAAATAAATAGGAAGAAAAGAAAGCAAATGAACGTGATCAACGTGAAAATGGCTATGTGCAGGCAAAAAATAAATTTGCTCCAGGTATCTAAATTCAGTTCTATTTCTATAAATACAAGGAGGAAAATAATTAGATTACTTTAAGATCCACCGACCTCGGCGAATAAAAGCTCGGCGCCCAAACCGATGGCGACAGCTAAAGAAATGCCAAAAAATCCCACATTTTCTGCCTCGATTCGACAAAAACCTTCGGCAAATTATGCAGCCAACGACGAAGATGACGAGGATACTCGAGATATGACTGGCCGAATCCGCACAGAATCCGGATACGAGGTACTTAAGATCATATTTTAGCTTGAAATTGGTTAATGCATTCATAGAAAAAAATCAAGAATTAATTGCACTGTATATACAGATCGATCGAGCATCTGCCGGTAATTGTAAGCTCAATAAGCAAGAAAAGGAACGAGACAAGGAGCAACCCGATGAGTTCGGGTATACAATGGGTATGTTAAGGCTCAGTTAGAGAATCATTTCGAGTTATTCATCTTTAAAAATGTCCATCTTTATTTCATCCGGTATTTCTTCGTTACAGCAAAAATTAAGAAGCGTTACAATTTAATGAAGGACCTGCGCAAAATTGAAGTGCAGCGACCACCAAATACATCACTTGGTTTGGCGTTAGCGGGTCATACGGATAGAAGAAAAATGGCTTGCTTTGTAGCTGGCATCAATTCCAATGGTATTTTAGCTTCGTTGGATATAAAAGCGGGTGATGAAATTCTCGAAGTAAACGGAAATGTCTTGCAAAACCGTTGCCATTTAAATGCCTCAGTGATATTCAAAAACATCGATTGCGAGAAAATTATATTAATTACTTCACGCAGAAAAGATAACGATGAGGGCATATCCGTGAAGCCCATAAAGAAGTTCCCAAAAGAAGTCGATGATGTAAGTATATATACATATACATATATAAATATAGATTATATATAGATTATTATTTAATATTTACTTAACAATTATTTACCATATTCCAGACCAAATTCTTATTCGATCTGTATCCTAATGCCCGTTCGGTCCAAGTTAAAAAAGAAGGATTTTTGGGTATCATGGTCATTTATGGAAAACACGTGGAAGTGGGCAACGGTATATTTATATCGGATTTACGTGAGGAGTCCAATGCTGTAGCGGTAAATTTTTACAACACAAACAAATATTAGAAGATTGCCTTGTAGTAATTACAATGAGTAAAACAAAAAAAATCAATCCCAATTTGCTAAAGGCTTTTTACATTTAAATGTTGCCATAACTAATAAGGTTTTTTATACATATACAGACATATATGTATACTATATACATACATACATATGTACCATTATGTAATTACAGGCTGGAGTTAAAGTTGGTGACATGCTATTAGCCGTCAACAAAGATGTCACCATCGAATCGAACTATGACGAGGTAGGTTATTGATGAAGCCATGCTTATTTTACGATTATTTCAATTTTTCTACGATCGGTAGTGATTTATCCTTCACATTTTCTCACTTCCGATTTTTTTCTCACCTATTACTTACACATATTAGGTCCAGTGAAAAGTTCGTTCGGGTTTTTTTATTGATTTTTCAAAATATGATAACTTTGTGTAAATTTGTCCGATTTGTTCGTAAACTTGTTGCCAACGAGATGCAAACTTCACTATACCCCTCTAGTAGAAGGCTACGTCCTGGAGCATCTGGCACATCTGGAGTGGCCTGGCGTTATCGTGATGGAGCACAATTCGGCCTCTGTTGATCAAAGATGGCCTCTTCTGGATGAGTGCTGCCTTCAAGCGGGCCATTTGCTGGCAGTTGAATTGAGCGTTTGGCTATAGAGAAGCAGCTCGTAGTGGATGATTCCTTGCCAATCCCACCAAACACACAGCAAAACCTTTCTGACCGTCAATCCGGTCTTGCCCTCGATGTTGTCGTAAGTGACCCATTTTTCATCGCCAGTCACAATTCGCTCCAGAAACGGATCGATTTTTTTGCGATTCAGCAGCGATTCGCAGATGAAAATTCGGTCCGTCATGTTTTTCAGCGTTAGTTCGTGTGTCACCCAAACATCGAGCTTCTTTTTTAATTCAGGGTTATGCAAATGGTTGCAAACGGTTTTCTGGCTTATCTTTAGTTCCTCAGCAATTAAATAAGTGCTCACGTAACAGCCTGTTTCCACTATTTCCATGATTTTATCGCAATTTTCGACGACAGGCTTCCCGACGCGTGGTGCATCTTTGACTTTTGTGCTACACGTTCGATTACAGGATCGTTTCAGCCGCTTTGGCTGCTTTTTCGCCTTGATCGAAGAAAAATTTTAAAATATAGCGAATTTTCACTTTACTGGTGTCCATCTTTGACTAGCGCTCACAACGTACTGAGTCAATCAATCGAAAAACTGTGAAAGACAAAACTTTTAGCGCGATTAAAGTCGTTTTCAGCACCGTATAGTATGACATGATGCGACACGTAACACTAGTATTATGGACAATATCGCCATCTCTTAGATAAAAACCGAACAAACCTTTTACTTTACCTAATATTAGTTCTGTTCGGTAAGTTGATGGGTAGTAAGAACACAAATCGCGTTCGGCGAGGCAAAAAGCCTGTAAAATTTTAATTGAGCATTTGAAATTTCGTTATTAACATTTCTCATCGAACACAGCTGTTAACTTTGTTCACTCAAAGATTAAGGTAGGCTTACACGGGTGGTATCGAGTCGGCGTCGAAACAAAAAAAAAATTCTAGTAAGAGTGAAATATAATTAAAAAATTTTAATGACGCTTAAGCTTTTGCAGGTAGTTATGTATTTATACACATCCGATTACCAATTTTGGTTTTTTTGTTATTATGATACACCCGTTTCAAGCATATGCTGAGAGTTTGGCCTATACAATATACTAAGATGATGAGAATTTCTGCAGACAATTTAATAAAAAAGATGAAGATAATGAACAACTGCTGGTTTAATTCTCATGAGAGGTGTCCATTAAAATCTCTCGACCTAAAAATTATATGTAAAGTGATCAAGTAAAAGAAGAACTACACGTACTTAAAGCCATTAGGATCTATTGCAGCAAAAATTCAAGTGAACAAGTAGTAAATTCCACGTAGATCATACGACATTCGAATTTTTACACCGTTAAGCTATTAATATCCTAAACAAAACGGTGCTTATGATATGCATATAAATGTTCCGAAACTTATACTAACAAGATTTAGTGTTTCCGATCAATTGATATCGAAGATTAAATTTATGAATCGACCTGACCCGATCATATTTGGAGTATGTCCTTACCTTAAAGTGTCAGAACTGCACAAAACAATTCTTTGAGTTGTTTAAAATTCCTGAGATAATGATTGAAATAAAAATGTTTTTTTTTTCACTCTTTAAACTATAAAAACAAACTATTATACTTTCAACAAATCAAAATATTCTCACCACTTTTAGGCCGTGGCGCTGATAAGACGCGCTGAAGGTATTGTTACGCTTGTTTTGTTAACTCTCAAATCCGAAGAATCTCTAAAAGCGGAAGCAGAAGCAGCGGAAAAGAAAAAAGAAGGTATGATAACCTTCTTTATATGGACATATACATATACATATGTACATATATCGTTTTTTCTATACAGAAGCAAAAGCCGAAGCCGAAAAACCACAGGATCCCTCCGTTGCAGAAATTAAAGTCAACAAGAAAATCCTTATTGAGTTGAAAGTTGAGAAGAAGCCTCTTGGTGTAGTGGTTGTTGGAGGAAAAAATAATCACGTGAAGGTAAATATATACTACCTGTATGTATAATGTAATTTCCGTCCGTGTGATCGAGGCCCACAAGTCAGCTGTGAGTTAAAAAAGTGAGCTGCCACACACAATCCGCTAAAAACTGATTTTCAAGTTAGTGCTTTTTTTTTTTAATTTTCAGCAGAAATTGGCTTTAATTACAGTTTTGTTGGCTAAAGAACACGGCCCAAGACCACAGTGAACAATTTGAGTGTTCAATGCACAATTCAAGAGACAATTTTTTTGAATAAATGTGGCAAACCGTTACTAAAAATATTTAATAACACACAAAAATACTGCTAGACAGTAGACATTAACTTTTCTTGCGGGGCTTAACATTTTCATGAAAAAGAATTCTAGGTTAAGGATTAGCTAGTCGGAAAAATTGGGTTTTAAGAGTGTGCAAAGTAAATTTAATAATTAATTATATTATACTGAAAGTTTTTATTGAATTATAGCCAACTATAGTTATTCAAATGTTATAAAAAATGCATATTTTTCGGCGCTCTCACGAGATAAAGAGTTTCGCATTATTAGCGGCGATTTGATTTCTCCGTAAAACCGGTTCAGCTCATTGCTTGCTGTTATACAAGGATGCCAGTATTTTAAATATTTAATTTAAATGAATATTAGGTAAACTATGATATTGCGCCGTTTTTTTCAAAAAAAAAAAAAAATGAAAATTTTAAAATATAGATCATGTTTATTTGATTGGCGTTTATATTCAAACATAGGTATAAATTATGGAATTCGTTTTTTAAAATTATGCAAGCTCACTGGCAGCTAACAGCATTTCGCCAAATGTTAGCAGCTTTGATTACTCGTGTATACATATTCCTCTTCCAGTCCGGTGGTACGGCTGGGAGCTAAGCAAAATGGGTAGTAGGCTTTTAGTCTTTTTTTATACGAATATGTTGCAGAGATCAAGGAGTTAGTCTAAGGATTCGTATGTTGCTACCATTGCTGTCCGTGCTGATAAAGCCACACAAATATTTCCCATAGTAGTTTTTGGGAAGGTTGTGGGAGTGACAGTCGTTGGCCGGATAAAAATCCGGGTGGTTCCGGATTGTTCTGGTTTAAGGCTGTATGAACTTTTGGATTTTAGTCGTCTCTTACGACAGACATGCCTTACCGGCGGAAAATTCTTTAACCCCTATCAGCAGTTTTGTAACTTGATGAATTCTTCTTTGATGTACATATGCTTAGGTTGTTGTTGCATTTCTCCCATCCCGCTTAGGAGCAGGCCATAAGCAACCCAAAATTAGTGAGAGTCACATTTGACAGCCTACATCCGCATACTCAAAGCGCTAGCCGGCAGCACTTGGGGTAAAGGGAAACGAACTTTGCTGGCAACCTACAAAGCACTTGGCCGTCCGGTCGTTAACTATGCTGCAACGATCTAGACACCGGGACGAACGAGACACAGATGAAGAAGTTGCAGGTTTGGCAGAACACCGGTCTTAGGACGCGACAGGACACCTACAAATTTCGCCGGGTCATCACATGCACAGTGAAGCATCCATACCACGAGTTAATGAGCATAATGCTTTGCTGTGCAAGCAATTCCTATTCTGATGCTACCGCAGGGAACACCCCAATAAACATCTTATTGAGACCGAACCTTCACCCAGACAAATCAGGAAGGGAGTACAAAATTCAGCAACACGTTCAACAACCGCTGGACAGAACGGTGTACACACAGACATTTTTCATCAGGAGTCAGTTAACACCTTAAAAAAACTCCTTTCCCGTGAATGGCGTACTTGGAGTTAAACTACCACCCATAGCAGACGAATAAATCGAGCTGGGTATATCGTGGGCCAAATGTGGATATGTATGAATTAAGTCGCCTACAATGTCAACATCTAAATTTTGCCAGTATCATTCGGGCTTCTCTAGGCAGTTCGAAATCTTCGTCTGCAATAAAAGGGCTTGGATTCCGAGAACGCCTTTCTCTATTAATGGACTCTCGGTGTAAGGTGGTAAAAGCCTGTCGGTACGCAGTTTTGTCCAGCGGTTCTTGCCTTTGCTACTAAATGAAGTCGCTATATCTAAGTACTCCCTTACTGATGTGCCTAGATGGAGATTCAGCATCAAATAAATGTGTACCCGAATAGCAGACAGATTCTTATGGGAATTTCCATATTTGTCCTCGGAATTCTTCGGATGATTAACGACCTATTAATAGCCCATAAACCACCTCCTCCACCCCGGTGGTAACATGGATTCCTCAATGTTTTATAGTAGTGCTGAATATTGGGTCAACTCCGGTGCATATCACCGGCTCCCAGTGGGAGTCATACCGAATTACATTCTTATAAAAATTATAAAATAACTTGACCTAAACAGGACAGCAGATCATTAAAAAATCAAATGAATATAATAAATTACAAATATCACGTTGTAAAAATACTCTTCGTCTGCGACTATTAGCATGTTTATAACATAAGTATATATTTTTTGCAGACTGGATGCGTTATTACTCATATATATCCCGAAGGAGCAATAGCTGCAGATAAGCGTTTAAATATTTTTGATCACATAGTCGAGGTAAACAGTCGACCTGTGAATTGCAGTGAAATGACAACACTAAAAGTACATCAAATATTCCACACCACTTACGAAAAAGTTGTAACATTCCAAGTATATCGCGCAGACCCTATTGAAGTAGATAAGTTCAGCGTTGAATTTATGAAAAAGCCAGGCAAAGACTTAGGGCTTTCACTGGCACCAAATGATCGTGGATGCACAATTTCCGAAATTGTAAGTTTTAATCTTTCGATATTAAATTTAAACTTATATTTTTTCTTCAGATACCTTCTGGTTATGCGGAAATAGATAACAAATTACAGCGCGGAGATATTATAACTAAATTTAACGGAGATTCCTTAGAAGGTTGCACTTTCGAAATATGTTATGCTTTGTTTAAAGGAGCCAATGGAAAAATTTCAATGGAAATCACAAGACCTAAGCCTACATGTCGCACCGAAGCTTCGAAATAAACAATAAAATAAATTTAAAGTTGCGCATATATTACATCAAATGTAATCTAAATAAATAATGCGATATTCAAGTTGGTTTTATTTATTTATTTGCAAAATTAGGCGATTGAACTTGCATTGGAAGCGATACGAGGCCACAAGTCAGCACATTCTTTAGCCACGGGGCCAGTAATAGCAGATCCTTTCATTTCGCCTTTATTGTTTACTATCACCCCCGCATTATCCTCGAAATATATAAATACGCCATCCCTCCTTCTAAATGGTTTCCGTTGTCGAATGACTACGGCTGGCATAACCTTGAAAGAAATAAAAAAAATAAATAAACTTTAGATTAATCCTGAAGGGAAAGAATTTAAATCTAAAAAATCTTTTTGATTAGAAGTAATGTAAGGTAGACCATAGCAGCTTTGAATTGAAGAACTACAAAATAAAAACTAAGGAAAAAGGTGTCTATCTGAAATCCGATATATTGTTATCTATTAACAATTATTACAAATTTTTGCTATTTTTCCTTTTTTTCAATATGTACAATATAAATTCACGTCATAAAGACTAATAATGAAAATTAGAAAATCAAATATTTTTAATTTACTTCTAGACTTAACTACCAATGTGCACCAATGCCTACATATATATACATACAAGTTCGAAAAAATGTATATTTTAAGCAAAATAATGATTCTTTGTTGTTGATAATATAAAAGTAAAGGATAGCCCACTGTAAATGTGAATTGTGCTTAAATCTAAGTTTTTTTTTTTTTTTTTGAAGTTTGAAGCACTATGAGTTTTTAATACCATAACATCAAGAAAAATGCATCTCACCACATGAAATTTGGTATTCTAAAAACATACATATAATGATTTGCATATTGGCCATGAAAATAATAGAAATCAGAAGATTTTCTAATATATTGCAGCCTGCGTACAAACGATTATTCAGATATGAGAGCTCATATTTCGTCCTCAAATGGAATTCAATAAATTAGATAATTATATGAAAGATATAAAATTCGGTTTAGCCAAAGGCCGCAAGTACTTCTTTCGTTTCGATCTGCGTTTATTATTTTAAAACGCTTGCATACCAGAAAGTTTTTAATGTTACTTTTTCTTAGAATATTAAAAAGTATCTAAGCGCTTTTAACATGATGGAATAGAAAAAGTTACTGGCAGCAGCTCGTTTTGTCGACTCCTTTAGCTCAAGGTTCACATTGAACAAAATAGTAAAACATAAAAACGGGATCAAAATACGTCCAATATTGGAACAATCATAAGATTTAATATTCGTATTTTCGGTTGTAATATAATTTATTCAGAAATTAATGTTGACAAACAAATCGACTCAACATTTCACCAAGTTTTGAATATTAATTAAAAAAAAAAAAAGTTTCCCTACATTTATAAAAGAATTTACATTGTTTTATCTAAAAGAATTAATCCTACGAAGAGTGGGGAATGCTAGGTGAATCAAAAATTTTACACTATAAAACACACTTACCTTTTTTCTAAGCTCAGGTTTGCCCTTTTTAACAGTAGCTACAAACATGTCACCAACTCCAGCAGCCGGCAGGCGATTCAATCGACCTCGGATGCCATGTACAGCAATGACGAAAAGGTTCTTTGCTCCTAAGACACATTAAAGAATTCAATTAGATTGAAACACAAAGCAAACAACAGGTATTATTATACCTGTATTATCAGCACAATTCATAACGGCGCCCACTGGCAAACCGAGAGAAATACGGAACTTTCCTCCCGCGGTACCACCACGACCTGTAATTCACAATAAAAAATAATGTTTACTACACACTCTAACATATCTTCGTTATCAAACTTCATATTTTTTGAATAGTTTTTAATCTTAAATTTCATGATTTTTCACGATTATTTTTACCTCTCTTCGACATTTTGCTGCTTGCTCGGTAAGAAAAGGAAGTAAAAGAAAGAAACCCAATTTACGAAGCAATGCTGCCAACTGTCAAAGTTGACATATGTCAATAAAACCCATCAAGCACATGTCAATCTTTGGATAAATGCTACCAGATTCTAATATTTTAGCGATTTCGGTAACCTAAACCATTGTGTCCAGTAAACTATTGCAATATCATTTTCTGCTGACATCTGGTCCATCGTGTCTTTGTATCTAATCCACCCATGACTTTCTTTAATTAAGAGCCCTCGCTTACTGATGTCCCTTGGATTGAAACCAAATCTTTTGATCCATCTTCCTTTCTGACTAAAGAGAAAGTGGACATTAATTATTACTCCATCAAAGATTACTGCTGCAATATAAAGTTGTCTCAAAGTACGCATTGTTCGAATAGACGCGTGCGCACTATTCACATCAGTGAAGTCGATTGTGTATAAAGTGAGAACGGGGAGAACATATTCTTCGCACATTTAACTGAACAAGAAAAAGAAAACCTAATGTTAAATTTCTTCGATTTGGTACAATTGCAGAATATCCCACAACTTTTTTATGTGGTTCTGTGACACAGTTGGTATTGCGCAAGAGATGCATAAATATTGGCTATTTTTGCTCTGGCGCAAAATCAAACTCCTTTCGAGGCAGCCGATGTTATTTATTTAAAATTATTCAATATTTTTTCATCCATATTTTTTTATATTAATAAAAAAAAAGGCATGGTATGGCTAACACAAAAAGGAGAAAACATCATTTATCGCAACGAATTTGCACCTTCTCATTGTTATAAGTCTTCTAATATTCTTTCGAACGTTTACTCGTATACCAAGAAGAAGCATACGTTCTTGATATCTTTGTTTTGAATCTGTTATTAAGAAACATATGTACATACATGTATATATCGTAATATTAATAAAATAATGCAGATATATTTCAAAGTACATAAATTTTCGAAAAGCAAATTGGCGAAGGCAGTTTTGCTATTTTGGAGGTGCATATTTGTGTACTTACATATGTTGATTGAGGACAGGACAGCATACATATGTTCATCTTTTATTAAAAATTTGCTTTGAATTGAAAGAACTTAATAAAAAAAAATAACAAAATATTAGCTTAAAGTAGCTACATATCTACCCCTTCATAATTTCGAATTTGTTTTCATCGTCGAAAAAATTAAACACTCAAAGCGAATTGAGCTTATATTTCCTCATCTGTTCATATTGGTCCACGAAAAATAGTGTGAAGAGGATACGAAACCCTGAAAAAGACTAAGGCTGCAACTACCCAACGCGCGTACCAGCCGTCCATAGTAACCTATCTTATGAGAGCGCCATGTAAACACAAAGTTATCACCGCTTTCCCATAACGTTGCTGACGTTTGTGGCGCAAAAACCAACGAAGTTTTGATTTTTTCCGTAAAACCGGCTCGGCTCATTTTTCGTTGCTATACAAGGTTGCCAGTATAGCCTTTCTTAAAGTAACATTAAATAATCGAAGATAATGCGTAGTTTTGCTCAAAAGAAATGAAAAATAAATGCGTAACTAATTATTTGTTACCATATAGATAATACATATTTGATTTTCGTTAATATTCGAACACATAAAATATGAAATTTGTTGACGAAAATTATGAATTTGTTCAAAAGTGTGCAAACACACAGGCAGCTGGCAACATTTCTCCGCTCTCAGCGCCGTCGATAACTCGTGTGTTTATCTCGCCTCGACGTCGCCAGTTATGGACGGCTGATGAGTGAAATGGGTAGTTGCAGCCTTCGTTGGTTTCTGCGACACAAACGTCACCAACGCTATGGGAAAGCGGTGATAACTTTGTGTTTATATGGCGCTCTCATAAGATAGTGTTACGATTTTACTAAATCAACCTCGATTATTTTCCGAATCCTTCGGGTACGATCTCTGGATTGTTAAATAAAACTCGCCAACTTAATTTGCAGTATCTTTCGTTATAAATAATTAATCTAATGTCCTTTATTTACTCCGTAATTCACAATTCAATTACAATACACCTCACTATTTACAATCACTAGTATCAACTTTCACAAAATACTCTACTTAAATGTAATCTTCAACGCGTTTACTTTACGACTTTACTTATGTTAACGCCAGCCAGATCACTTTGTCACTAACTTCTTGGCAGCTGAGTGTCCCCTTATATAGCAGTCGGCTGCTCGCAGACGAAAGCGTAGAAGCATCGAATTGTTCGCTATGGAAGGTTCTTGTTTTATCGTTTCTAGAACGTACTAGTTATCGGCTTCTCTCTTTCATCTGACATTCGCCTCGCATTTTCGCAACA